CAGTTTTTCAAATGTTTCTTATATGCATATCTTGTACTGACCTATGCATCATTAGAAAGTATCACCAAGACAGGTTAAAATTCCACACAATTCAGAATATTTTAGCTTTATCTCTGCCAGATCACTAAAGCTAATGTTCTGTTCCATTGAATGTCACAAATATCTGCCTCCACACACTTTCCTATTCATTTGTTCATTTCTTACCTTCTCCCTCAAGCTCTCAATAAACATAAAGCCATTTCTTATACTTCTTAGAAGTGTCACACTTAAATTGTACAAGTAAATATTACCAAAGTTTATAAATTCTATTACGGGTTATGCTTTAATATTATATCATTATATACAGCACTACAGGACTTTTCAGATAATTCACTAAGCATAGACCCATGAAGGGGAATCCAGATTCAGAGAAATTAAATCATGAACTCATTATCAGAGTGTCAGAGCTAGAATAATTTTTAAACTAATGATCAAAGTTCCTCTAGGTAATGAATTTCATCATGAACTTCACAATTCCAGAATCATCTATTTGCTGACTATGAAGAAAATCGCCTTGACACATTCCTGTCTCAAAAAACAGTTAACATGTTAATGGGACATCCCTGAGGGCTTTGAGTGCTTGAGACACTGATATAAGAGATCAAACTCATAATAGTCATAGCTTCTCTTGATTGCATGGGTTGTTCATATTCAAGGGTAAGAGAAAGGGCTTTTTTAGACTTAAAAGATCCCTTACAGGGTTCAGAATTTGAATTTGTGGTGAATGTGCTATTGTTTAGCTTTGAGAGAGAAGATTCTCTCTCACACTCAAAGTTGTGTTACAAAGTGATTCAACTGCCTTCCAGAGACAATAACAGAGAAAATTGTGGGGGTTTGTGACATGGTTTGGTCAATAGAACTGTAAAATAAAACTATGATTTAATTTTCTTCATGTAAGGTAACAGAATGTGGGTAATAGAATTAAATAACCAAGTGTAAAATTCAGGAAAATATTTTTAGACACAGAGAAAGTTAACTTTCATCCTACCATTGGCTATGTTTAACTTTGGGATCTGATTTTTGCTTTCTGATATAGGATTTCTCAAAATTTAAATTTATTTTACTAGTTAGATACTTGATACATGATCTTCTTAATTTACTATTTAAAATTTAAATTTACTATTTTTAAAATAGACAACTATAAAAGGGTGTCGTCTTTGATCATCCCTGGAAGATAAAGCTTCCAGAATTCGGACATGTCACAAAGGGATTGCAGTACTGTCAAGGTGAAATTGTATGCTGTGGAATCAGAGAAATCTAGGCTTCAAAACTGGTTTTTCTATTAACTGATGGTATGAACATGGTAAAACATGTGCCCAGCTGGTGTCAGTATTCTCATGTACAAAAAATGATGCCTTATATATTTTGCAGAAGGTTTTGTAGGCTAAATAGGAAAATGTACCCAGGATGTATAATCCTGCCCAGTGGCTTAGTTACATGTGGTAGCTTCTGCTTTAGCTTTCCCTCTTCTGGAGTTCAGTGCTTGTAATACTGCTCTGGAATTGAACATGAACATGAGGGTGGAGCAACTGGTTTTAATTTAGTTTTCAAATTGATCACGTTGTATTTAAAAATCCACGATGCGTTTGTGTTTGTAACCACATCTCTTAAGTGAAACCAACCAGACATAAACACAACTATTTTGAATATCTTTAAATATCACCTAACAGAAAGGACTATTAGAACCACAGCTTGGGTGAAGTAGGTAAAATTCATAATTTTTCCACAGCAAAGTTGATAAATGCCCTAATGATAGATTATTTAGCATAAAATATAATTTCATGTATGAACCACTTCCTTACTGTACATTCAAGAACAGATCATGAAGGTTTACAGAAAACTATATTGATAGGACTGTTAGGGGAATTTAAGTGAAAACACTGTTATTCATGTGGTTCTGCACAGAGGCAAAATTCAGTGTCTGAGTTGCATTTTAAAAGTTCTTTTATAACAGCATATCAGAGACCTTGGGCTTAATCTCAATAGAAGTGTGTGTGTGTGTGCCACATAATAAATATGTGTAAAATCTGAAAAACAGAACAGCTACTGATTTGGGGCCCAGTAATTATTCTATGTCTTATGAAAGCACTCTCTAAATACCTATTATTTTGTTAAATAATTAAATTTTGTGATGTCATATTTCAAATATATGTTCACAAATAACTAAAATTTCAGCTCACTAAAATATATTTTATTGTATCTTTTTAAAAAGTACTCAGCCATCATCCCATGTTCTTTCAGTTGCAATAGTTATATGCAAAAATTCTTTTAAAGCTTGGTTATTTGTTAATTTAGAAGGTTTGGTAATTTCCTAAAATTAATTTGCATATTTTCCTTTCATTGTGTTTTTCCCTATAAAACTGATTCTATTTGTGCTAACTCTTAATTAAATTTTTCTGTACATATCACATTAATAGGAGACTAGACAATCGTAGTTTTTAAACCAAGACGTATTTGTGTATCTTCTCAAAATACACTACTATGTATTTATCCAATTTACTAATTACTTTACAAGATATTTTATTAATAGAGCTGTTCAAATAAATTATTTGTAAACTACAAATTTTTGTAAGTAAAATGATGTTTGTGTGTCTGTGTTTTGTTATAACTGGCACGTAAGTTATTTACCTTAAACATAAATCATAATACAATTTTGTTATATAATTTATATTTTTCTAAGGAACAAGTGAATAATTGTAGCCTCACATTTATGAAACTCTTTATGCATTAGAAAAAATAGTCTGCTAGGATTTATGAGGACATTTCTGGGATGATACAGCTACATGACTCTTTTCTTTCTTTCTTTCTTTTTCTTGAGATGTATCTATTTATTTGAAAGGGAGAGAGACAGAGAGAGAGAGAAGGAGATACAGAGACAGAGAGAGAGAGATGGTCCATATGCTGGTTCACTCCCCAAATTGCAACAAAATGACCATGCTGAACCAGGCTAAAGCCAGGAGCCTGGAGCCCTGGAGCCCCAAGTCCGTTCAGGGTCTCCCACAGGGTGCAGGGCCCAAGCACTTGGGCCATCCTCTGTTGTCTTCCCAGGTACACCAGCAGGGGACTGGGTAAGAAGTGAAGCAGAAGGGACTCCAATAGGGATGCCCCATTGCAGGTCATGGCTTTAACCCACTGCACCACAGTGCTGGCTCGGTCTCTTCTCTTTTTGAAACTAGTTCTCTTTGTTTATTCTCTTCTTGATGTGTGTTCATCTCAATATGATAAAACCTAGCATGTTTCACACCATGAAAATAAGTTACTTGTAATTCACTGAACTTGGCAAGGACTTAAGTACAGCAAACTTTTCATTACTTTTAAAATGTTGAGTTTATGGCATGCTCAAGGAAATGCAAAGCCCTGGAACTGAAATGTCTCCCTTCAATGTAGAGTGGTTAGCATTTAAATGTGTTTCAGTAACTAAGGCTTTCAGCCTGGACACCAGGGGGCTTTTGAACATTATGGTGTTTGTTTCTTTCTTCTGTCCTTTCTTCCTTTTTTCGTTCTTTCACTCTGTCTTTCCTCCCTTCCTCCTTTCCTTTATATATTTTTCACACACTTTTATTTCCTCATATTCATGAAATGAAGAGGACAATGTCAATATTGTACTTATAGTCCTGAGATTACACCCTGCTTTATGGTAAATACAGTGATTTTTAAAATTTTAGCAGCGATTTACTATAAATAATTTTATTATCCACTATCAGTGATATTTATTTTGTAGATATTTTAGATACTCCACAAGAAACAAATCATATAGTAAATGTATGCCTATGATTTATATATAAGAGAAATATGTCTAAAAACACCTCAAAGGACTTCTCAGAGATATATAAATTTAAATAGCTATATCTCACAGTTAGTTAAATTTGAATAACGATAATGGTAAATGAGTTGCAGAAGGCAAAAATCAGAAAGTAGATGATATATATCATGGGCGAACAAAAATTGAAAATAAAACATGTGATACCATTCTTGTTTGCAAACAGTGTCTTTTATCTCCAGAGTACCATCTGCCTCTACTTAATGGAGCAAGAGAATTGCCGGAAAAGAAGACGTAAAATGGTTTTGTCTGTAGATCTTTCCTATGCAACAAGTTAAGATGTAAGCTTAACAGTCAATTTTCTAGTCATCTGGAAACATTTTCAATTGAACAACATAAATATCATTTTTCTCATTTAAATTTAACTGTGATTCAAATATGGTTTTTCATATACCAAAACTCTTGAACACTAGGAGGGTACATTTGGAGCAGCAGGTAAGACACTGATATTTCATATCAGAATGCCTGGGTTTGAATCCTGTCCCTGCTTCCAATTCCGGCTTCCTGTTAATACACACCCTGGGAGGCAGCAGATGATGGTTTAATTGGACCCTGTCATCTGTGTAAGAGACCTGGATTGAGAGCTCTAACTGTTGAGAGCATTTGGGAAGTTAATTAGTAGAGGAAAAATTCTCCCTCTCTCTCTCTCTCTCTCTCTCTCTTTCCTGTTTGTGTGTGTATGTGTGCCTGTGCCTGTTTCTCTGCATTTGAAATAAAATGAAAATAAATACATATTTTAAAATCTTTTTGAACAATAAGGAAAGATATTTCATATACTTTGTAGCAAACGTATATATTCTTACTTCTCAGGTACATGATTTTTCCATAATATTTTTGGATTCAAATATGCCTATCTTCATTCAATGTTGTGCTATTTAAAATGATGCAAGATAAGAACAAGAGGTAGGGAATTACTTGGAATATAAACCACTTGAATTGTAGGATTGTTTTCAGCATGATACAGTTAGATAACAATTGAATTAAATTATTTGTATTTTCTTCATATAGTGAAAACCATATACTTGGAAACATCTTCTTCATCCTTGCCTATCTCATGGTTACTAAGGAAATCACCATGGCTTAAATGTAGACAAAGAATATAATTAGATGGAATCCATTTGCACTGGCTTTTTCCTTTATGACCTATATCACTGAAATGGAAGGATTTTCATCAGATTTAGAAATATACAGAATTCAACAGAAGAATGTCAGTGGTGTCACTGTATTTATTTTGATTGGCTTCACAGATGATTTTGACCTGCAAGTCTTCCTATTTCTACTCTTTCTTGGAATCTATCTCTTTACTCTGATAGGAAATTTAGGACTGGTTGTGTTAGTCATTGGGGATCCCCGGCTTCACAACCCTATGTACTATTTTCTGAGTGTTTTATCAGTTTTGGATGCCTGCTATTCTACAGTGGTAACCCCTAAAATGCTGGTCAATTTCCTGTCAGAAGATAAATCTATTTCATATTATGGGTGTGCAACTCAAATGCTTCTGTTTGTGACTTTAGGGACCACGGAATGCTTTCTGTTGGCTGCCATGGCTTATGATCGCTATGTAGCCATCTACAACCCGCTTCTGTACTCAGTGAGCATGCCTCCCAGAGTTTATTTGCCACTCATCATTGCCTCCTATATTAGTGGCGTTTTGCATGCTACTGTACACACAGTGGCCACATTTAGTCTGTCCTTCTGTGCATCCAATGAAATTAGGCATGTCTTCTGTGACATCCCTCCACTCCTTGCACTATCCTGCTCTGACACCCACATAAATGAGCTTCTCCTCTTCTACTTAGTGGGCTCTGTTGAAATAGTCACCATTCTGATTGTCCTGATCTCCTATGGCTTCATTCTGTTGGCCATTCTGAGAATGCATTCTGCAGGAGGAAGACAAAAAGTATTTTCTACATGTGGCTCTCACTTAACTGGAGTATCTATTTATCATGGGACAATCCTGTTCACTTATATGAGACCAAGCTCCAGCTATGCGTCTAACCATGATATGATTGTTTCAATATTTTACACCATTGTAATTCCCATGCTGAATCCTATTATCTACAGTCTGAGGAACAAAGATGTAAAAGAGGCCATGAAAAAATTATTGAGAGAAATTCGATCATAATTAAATCATACTGGTAGAATCAGGAAAGCTGGCAGAAGATTGTTTTTCAGTTCACACGGTTGTGGTCAAAAGCTAGAGAAGAAAACATCTGGCTTTAATAAATTGTGCTTGTATAACTCAGAATATTTCCAGATAAAGCATTAATGAGCCTCTAATGCAGCATTTTAAAAATTTAGACATATTTTCTTACCTGTATGCTTATTCGTTTTTTTAAAAAAAGTCATATTACTTTTTTTAATGTAAGTACATTGTTGTTAGTAGTTGTGTAATTAGTTTTCACTCATTCTATGAAGAGGTCATGTCCTCAGTATGTACATTGCTTGTGGCAAGCCTACAATAATATTTTTAAAAATTTTAAATAACTTTTATTATAATGTTATATTTTATTTTATTACTAGTTTCTGTTGTTAATCTTACTGTGCTCCATTTATAAGTGTGTAAATTAAACCACAGTTATATATGTATGGGAAAACCATTGTATATGTAAGGTTTAGTACTACATGCTGTTCAGGCACTCACTTGGGTATCAGTTGGAAGGTCTTTCTAGCTGTAACATGAAGGCAAAGGCTACCAGGCCACGCCTGGCTTGTGCACCTAATGAATGTTGGTCTTCTACTCAACACAGCAGCGATAATCCAGGGGCAGTGAGGCACAAGGGTAAAATCGGATTTGATGAATGCCGACTCTCCCACTGTGCGGCAAGTTCACGTGTGTCTCATTCAGCTGCATCTCATGAACCCAGCGCAGTGCACTTGGGAGGAACTGGACAGCTTAACAGACTCAGTGACTGAGCCACACCGACCACCTGCGGTCCACATCCAGTCCCCGTTTCTAAACCGATGGCAGCGGGAGAGCGAAGGAATCCCGGTGCATTGAGTCTGCCTCACTGACGGCCTCCGCTGTCCAGGCCCTGGATTCACTGCCAGACTCCTTCTCGGGCTCAGCCCGGAACAGAGAAGGAGTCTTCTCAAGGACGCCAACCAACTGCAGGGAAGAACAGAAGCCTTCCCCCGCGACGCTCACCTCCCCTGGTGGGCTGCTCCGCCATCTTCAATGTTCTTAACGATGTGCCTTCCTCGTTCTAGAATCTCTATGCAGGAATTTTCCAGTCGCTGCTTTATATGCTTGAAAAGTGTCCTGACCTGCTGAGAGCCATCCAAGGTTCAAATGTGTCTTTTGCTGTGTTTATGTCTACTCTGATTTTAATATTAAATTCTTTCTTTGCCACTTTTCCATCAAATATTTATTAGACCTATTACACAAGTTAGCAACATATGCTGATACTAGATGGTAATATTTAATGGAAATTTTCTGAGGTTTCTAAAAATAAATCATACTCTAGGAAAGAATGTTCTGTCACTATCATACTTCTGTTACTATCTCATATTTCTATGACTATAAATATGAGATATATAGATTATGTGTATGTCTCTCTATATGTTTATGTTTACGACTGCTCTAAGATCTGTAAAACTGACTTATTTGAGAGGGTTTTTCTAAATCCTGATCCATGCTCACTTCCCAGCCCTGTATTTATTCATTACCTATAACAATTTACCTTACTTTGTTGTCGTGGGTATTGTTGTCCAGGAGGTTGGGCCACTGCTCAGGACACCTGCATCCCATATAGAGTGTCGATTTGAGTCCCAGATACTCTGCTGCTGATCCATCTTCCTGCTAATGCATCTTCAGAGGAAGCAAATCATGGCTCAAGTGTTTGGGTCCTTGTCATCCATGTCGGGGACCTAGCTGAAGTTCCAGATTCCAGACTGGCCTGCCCTAGACCTGGCTGTTGCAGACATTTAGGAAGTTTACCAGTGGGTAGGAGATTCTTTCTCTCTCTCTCTCTCTCTGTCTCTCAATGTCTTCCCCTCCCCTTTTCAAGTATATTAAAAATAAATAAACACAAATTAAAAGGTGTCTACTTCCACTCAGCCACTGAAGAACTGCAAAACACATAATACCAATTTAAAAATCCAGCAAATACCTGAAATCATAACTTTTCTGGTTCTATCAGGTATCTGATAATGATGACCAAGCTTAAATTTAAAGAGGTAAGGCCAAAGGTAGGGTATTGAGAAAAGCAGAGAGCCTTCCAATGAAAGCATTTGAATTTAGTCTTATGGTATTTTCTATAGATCCCAAACACATACTTCTGAAAATTAAACTAGATTATTTTGTTCAAATATAGGTATTGTTGGTGACCTTTAAGTAAAGACAGTTGATAGTTAATTGAATGTAAGTTCTACAGGAAAGAGTAAGCAACACATTTGAATGGACCAGGAAGTTCATCAGATTGAAACGAAATCAAATGCCTGGTGAAATACTGAAAATAAACACACATTCGCTATCAGAAACCAAATGACTCTCAATTGAGTTCACTATTAGAGTAAAAACCGATAAAAAATCTGTGTAGCTGAACTAATAGGAATTTATCAAATGGAAAGAAAAGACAAAAATGAGAATAAAAGTATGCGAGAACTGTGTGACATATCAAAGTTTAATCAATAGGAAAGTAATAGAAGAAATGAGGTGGAAGAAAAATTATTTGATAGTATGGTCACAAAGCTTCTAAAATAATAAAACGTCAAACCACAGTTGCAAAAGATGAGCAACCTCAGGTCGGATAGCATATCAGTAATTCTTCTGTGAATACAGAACCAACAAATGTAGTACATTCCTTACAAGGAATTAGGTATTATCATGGGTGTGCTGTCTCTAAAGTATTCAAGGTGGTTTAGCATGCTGGAGATCCTGGAGAACTGCTGCTGTAGTTTGCACACAAATCCAGTGTTCTCAAGAGCATGGAAGAGTTTGTTACAGATGAGGTCTTAGGCAATCTGCTGGGGGTTCACTATCGATTAACCCATCAATGGAATAAGCTTTTCTGAGGGTAGGAGGGTATTTCACAATCCAAAAACCCCACCTCAAATACCATAAATATATAATTTTGAGAATTGTCCACACCAGTTTTAAAAGGGACAAATACTAAGACCACATGATTTTGCTTCGGCCTCCAAAGATTCACATTTTTCTTAATTACCAACTTTAATAATTCCATTCTTGAAACCTGAAATTCTTCATTAAGTTAAAAATTAACTCAAATATTCGAAGTTTCAAATTCCAATTGTTAGTCATGGGTAAGACTCAAGCTATGTTTCATGACTAATTCTGGTGGGAATTCCCTCCAGCTGTGATTCCAAGAAATCCAACAAGTTATCTCACTGCAATGCAGTGGTGGGAGAGATATAAGACAACAGACATTCCCACTCCAAAGGGAATAACACCAAAGAAGAAATGGATAACTTGCCCCAAGTCCGAAATCCAACAGCAAAAACTACGTGAGGGGCCAGCTCTGTGGCATAGCAGGTTAAGCCACCACCTGCAGTGCCGGCATCCCATATGGGATGGGGGCTGGTTCGAGACCCAGCTGCTCCACTTCCAATCCAGCTCTCTGCTATGGCCTGGGAAGGCAGCAGAAGATGGCTCAAGTCCTTGGGCCTTTGCACTCACGTGGGAGACCCAGAAGAAGTCCCTGGCTCCTGACTTCAGATAAGGTCAGCTCCAGCCATTGCAGTCATTTGGGAAGTGAACCAGTATAATGAAAGACCTCTCTGTCTCTGGCTCTACCTCTCTCTGTAACTCTGTCTTTCAAGTAAATAAAAATAATTCTTTAAAAACAAAACAAATCAAAAAACTGTGACGTCTTAAAACTCAAGAATATTCATACAAACCGTGAGCTATCTCCTGGACTCAGAGTAAAGAGTTTGGGTAACCAAACATAGGCATCCCCATTTGGGCTGAGTCCACCCAGAAGATCTCATTGTGGAATCTAGTGGAATAGCATTCATTGCATGCTGTTTGATCTTCAGTCCATTGCTTCATGGCCTTTTGAATAAGATCAAGTGCAGATCTTCAGCCTAGGGTCCCAGTGACAGTTTCACTACAATGGCCTTGCTCTCGTGGGGACTCTCTGAGGTTGAGTGGCACCTGGTCCTGCTGAGCCATATCTGGTTTCCAAGGAGTAGATTCCAGAATAAACAGGGTTGAAATGTAAGGGGTCCATGGGCAGTGAGTCCATGGAAAGTGCCCCAGTCTTATTGCCCAAATTATCCTGAATTTCTAGCCCTCTGCTTCTATGATAGAATGGGACACTGAAGATGTCTGAAATGCCTTTAGGGATTTCTTCTACTGTATTTTAAAATTCGTTAATTTATGTATTTTGGAGTAAGCATACACAGACTTACAAGCACACATACAAAAATGGTGGTGGTGGGGGGAGTTCTCACTACCATTCAGCGTTTCAATACCCAAATGCTTCGATAATCCCTTCTATTAGTTCTCTCTTGCTAGCAAAGGGTAACTGTTTTTTTTTTTTTTTTTGTTTTTTTTTTTTTTTTTTTTTTACAGGCAGAGTGGACAGTGAGAGAGAGAGAGACAGAGAGAAAGGTCTTCCTTTGCCTTTGGTTCACCCTCCAATGGCCACCGCGGCCAGGGCACCGTGCTGATCCGAAGGCAGGAGCCAGGTGCTTCTCCTGGTCTCCCATGGGGTGCAGGGCCCAAGTACTTGGGCCATCCTCCATTGCCTTCCCGGGCAGCAAGAATCTGCAATGGTGAAAAAGGGCAAAAAACAAAAGGCAAAAAGGGCCAGGCCCACTGTGTCTGAGGCCTTTAATCCACTTCCAAAAAGGAGTGGTTTATTAATCTGATTGGTAGTTGGGCACACAGGTGAGGCCAGGTAGGGGCATGACATCACACCAGGGAGCATGATGACGGTGTGGTCTTCCAGCTCACAAACTCAATCAGTTTTATCCTGTTTGACTGCCTACAACATTCCCCCCTCAGAGACTCCATTCCCTTAATCCTAAGGGGTGTTGAAGGGCATAGATTCATCACATCTTCTATAGCTGCTTCTTGCTTATGAGGGGCATAGCACAGGCCTTCCCTGTCCTGGGTCTGGAAGTCTCTGTCTATCTCATCTAACACATTTGCTTTGTGAG